AATATGTCCCGAAAATAAGGTATGCTCCAAGCAAGTCACAGTGTTGCGTATATTTATTTCCCTGAGGTCTTTGCTAATAATAATAATAAGTTTATTCACGTAGCATACAAATATAAATAAAAACACATAGGTATACGTAAATAAATTGAATTTACCCACAAATAAATTTTTGTGCGTATGTTTTTTATATATATATATAAATATACATATATATTCATATAAATAAACACATAAATGGATGCACATATACATATATGGGGGTTAGATGGTAGAATAGATATATAATCTAAATCTCGCCTCCTGTAAGAATATTACAAATAAAAGACGTTAATTATTATTATTATATACAGGGTGGCCCGTCCATGTGTGAACGGAATATTACTCATAAACAAATACATTTTGAGAAAATCTATCAATGGCATGTTATACATGACGTGTGAGGGCACATTTATAAAATATTGGCAATTAAACAGGGTGTCCCAATTTTGACCTACATATCAAAGTTGTGATTTAATAAATGCAATGCCTCAAATTTTATTGCATATTTGGATAAACCAATTCAAAAGAAGAAGATTGATATAACATACTATGGGGTTTTGGTAATTGGCTACTGAGATGTAAGGTGTCTTGGCCAGAAAAACTGTCCACTTCGGCAACCCCTCAATCCGCCATTTTGAAATTTGGGGTGCTGAATTTTGTATAAAAAAGCTTACACATCTCAGCTTTTATCTTATTTGTTACATTTTCTAATTTTCATTTTTGCTCATACAGGGTGGTCAAAAACGCAAATTGTACTTTTTCTCGAACATTTCAAATGCATCAAAAAAAGCTTATAAAAAATTCAAACTTGCACAAATATACAGGGTGATGATTTGAAATTTTTGGGCAAAAATTAAAATTCGAAAAAGTAACAAATAAGATAAAAGCTGAGGTGTGTATGTTTTTTTGATACAAAATTCAGTACTCCAAATTTCAAAATGGCGGACTGAGGGGTTGCCGAAGTGGGGGTTTTTTCTAGACAGAACTTTATATTTCAGTAGCTAATTACCAAGACCCCATAGTATGTTATATGCCGAAATTGGGACACCCTGTATAATGGACAACATTTTAGCAATGTGCCCTCAAATGTCATGTATATCATCCCATAAATAGATTTGCCCATTTATGAATAATATTCTGTCCACACATGGATGGGCCGCCCTGTATACATACGCACATATACGAGGATATGAACGTTGGAGGATTTTTACTATTACATTAACTTCGAACTTCTTTTATACGTATCATGTTTGCAATTTGATGTCGATTTTTTTCAATTATAAATTTTTTGGTTTCAATTTTGAATTTTGTTTTATTTGAAATATTTCTTATATACTTTGGTAACATTCTTATAATCTACTGGAAAGGTAAATATGACATCTTTGGCCTATACTTTTTGAGGTGAAAGGTGTTTGCTTAATGTTGTTGATTTTGTTTCTAATTTGATATAAGTGATCTAACGGAATAAGGTTATTTCTATGGTGAAATTGATGATTTATCATTTTATAAAAAAATGGTTGCCTAGGACCCAATAGTTTTGCTTCAGAATACAACAGATCAGATGGGTATATGAGTGGTTTATCAAGGATTGTTTTTAAACATTGTTTTTGGATAACATCTAATTTATTAATTTGGTTATTAAGTGCTCCACCCAAACCTAATATTGACTTTCGATCATAACATGATATAAAATTTTCATATTTTTTATCCAAATATTTGGTTAGATACTTGAATTTAAACAATAATGCTCTGAAATTGGTTATTACATGATCAATATGTATATTGCACTTTAAATGTGAGTCTAAATATGCACCTAAATATTTTATTTGGTTTGTTAAATTTATTTGAGTATCTATATTATTACAGTTAATCTGTAGGATGGTAATTTATCTCTGTGATTTGTGAATGGCATGAACATAGTCTTTTGAAAGTTAGAAGTTTAGCATTTATGTCTGAACCAGTTTGCAATTATTGTTAAGTCTCTTTCAACCTTCACTTTCAGATCATCCCACGAGTTGTTATCCAAATAAATGATAGCAGTATCGTCAGCAAAACATATGATTGTTCCTTCAGATTTTAAGCTCAGCAGGCTATTAATGTAAAGTGTAAATAATAAGGGGCCTAGCACTGTCCCTTGTGGGTCACCATACGTTATCAATTTGTTTGTGCTTAAGGAATTATGTATTGGTACGCACTGTGTTCTGTTGGAAAGGTAACTTTTCATGAGGTTATAAGCCTTGCCAATAATTCCTGAGTCGTGTGAGATTTCTGATAGTAGCAAGTGGTCTACTGTGTCGAATGCTTTTGCTAGATCCAAAAATACACACAGGATATACGTATATTCACTTTGGTCCAGTAATTTGTATAATTTTGATGTCAAAAAATAAATTGCGTCTTGGGTAGACTTGTTTTTCTGGAATCCAAATTGTTTTTCATTAATCAGGTTATGTTTATCAAAAAAATTGGGAAGTCGTGTCTTTATAATTTTCTCAATAATTTTTGCAAGGCTGGATATTAGAGTTATAGGCCTGTAATTGTTATTATCTGTTTTTTCACCGGATTTGTGGATAGGTTTTACTACTCCTACTTTATAATCATCTCTAAATTCTCCAGATTCAATTATCAAGTTCGCTATGTACGTCAAGGACTTATTAATTTCGGATGACAGTTTCTTTAACATTTCTGACCGTATACCAGCAAGACCTGTGCTTTTTTTATTTCTCAAACTGCATTTTTCATTTCATTTTCAGACACAGGTTCTAAGAAAATCGATTGTTCTATACATTTTATAGGCGGAATATTTGTGTTAGGTTTATTTATTTTCATGTGTTTTTACATTCTCGGATGATATAATAACGATAATAATTACTATAACTTTCGTGTGAACCAGTAGAAGTCATGTCTGTATGTCCAAAAGTTTTAGAGGTTATGCTGCTGTCAGCTGATGCTTACAAATGGCATGTCGTCAAAGCACATTAATTTATGGGCCTAACATGTGGGACAGCGTTTTCGTCTGTCTAAGAAAAATATATTGCCAAATTAAAGTTTTACGCTCTTTTAGGTCTTAAAAAATATAGTATTGAAGTTTTTGCTTGGGAGGGGGGGTTCGAATCTCCTTGTGGGGATTGAAGAGCAGGGAACGGAAATTATTATTGTATCGCCCCCAAATCAATTATGTAATTTCCCCCTAATTTCATTTAGGCTGTCCCCGTAGGTTCTTGACCCACAAGGTGGCATGAATCGCTCACCTTGAGAAAGACTGATTTAAATGTACCGTTTTCAAAAGAACAAAATATGAAAATAATTTTATCCAGTTATCCTGATTTTCGAAGGATGGTAGCACCCTTCACAGTTAGCTGTTGAAGATCCTCTCAAATGTCGAGTACCACTGTGACCAATTTGCTGCCCGAAAATCAAGACCATTGCTTTTAGAACATTTGGTTTGAAAAAGCGCGTTAGTACTGCCATGACTTTGCCGTGACAAGGCTTCATTGAGCAGCTAATTTCTCGTTTCTGATCGATATATTGGCCCTCAAGATCATGTGCTCATACCTGTGACCTTTTTTCTTTTGCGCTACGTCTAGATGGATATGAGAGTATATTTCACGAATTAGAAATCAGTTATTCGCCTTATTAGCTGCTTAATGACAATATATTGTTCAACAAATCAGTTGTGATGAAGGTTACAGTTATACATAATAATATCATAAGAAGTCGATGGTTAAATAGGAAGAGTAGTTGAAATTTAAAATATGAAATGGGAAAGCTGTTAATATTAAACAAAACCCTAGACCCTAGGCAAGAGGACTCTTTCCAGCACAGTCCCATAACGACAAGATGTTTGAGAATATCCAAAAGATATAATAAAAGTAAAGTTTTAGTATCTTTCTCTTGCGATTCATCTGTGACCAAGGTCAAGATGATTTTGTCATATATGACCCTACATCAGACGCGTAGAGATAAAATTTTACCTTTATCATATATAAGGTCAAAACCTTGGGTGGAAATTTTGTCGACATTGAACGTCTTAGTCAAGGTCATCGTAAAAATCGTTGTTGGAAAAGGATGAAGGATCTTTTCGCAGGCAGAGTGAAGATAGAGACGGAAAGCAGCGGTGGTTCAGGTTTTCGCCGATCACCTTGATATTGAAATTTACCATGACCTTGAAGTCAAATCAAGGTCAAGACAATTTTTGTGTGCGATATCCGTTGGCCCTAGAAATGTTCATCGTAAAAAGAACTTGTTTAAAGAGGTTTTGAGGATTTTTCTGAAGATAAGGGCCACAGTAGCTTCAATTTGACTTCAGCTATTCACTTATGACCTTGTAACTAAGCAGCGACATCACTACTAGAATCAGTAGTACTCTATTCTATACGTTTGATCACGAAAATAGAACGGAAAGCGCTACGTTCAGCTATGACAGGGGGTGAAAGGTGTTTTAAATTTGAACGTCCTTATCAAGGTCACAAAATTTTAGGGACGTTTTTAAAAATCAGGACTCAAAGACGGCAAAGGTTTCAGCTTCCCTGACTGTTCACTGGAGGGTTTGAAACTGATCTTGCCCCTCGACGGTCAAATCAAGGTCAAGACGTTTTTGTCTCATGTTATAATACGATTAACACCGGGCAGGGGTTGAACGGAAAAACCAGGAACATTCTACGTACAATGTTTTGCTGTAGCCGTTACCGAGGTAAAAAATAAGAGGTTCGTTTTAAAAAAATGTCTCGATCTTTATTATTCTTCAGGTCAAATCCAAGATTACCACTGCGTCTACTATTTCACTTTTACCATACTACTTGAATATTTCCAAATACCTTTCCATTCCGGGAGAAAATCTTTTGAGTCGAGCTCTGTTTATGGTTTATGAATCCGCCTACGATTGGCAGCATCTTCGACATTTTACATTTGCAGTTAAAACACTATAGGTACATCTGGTTTAATGCAGATTTACTCTGTTATAGGTGAGGACATATGACGAAAAACTCATGGATCATCTTCATGGTCAGCTGCAGCAGGTAACGTTCCACCTCCAGTAATTAAAACATTAAAAGAATGGCTACAATCAGGTATCTGACTGATGGAATATGAGTGAGTTAAACACATAATTAATTTTTCTGTGACGGAAAAAAGTTTGACATTTTATCTCTGTTGACAGGTAACAAAATGTCACTTTTTATGAAATTACTTTTTTCACCGTAAAAAAAAAGGAGTACTTTTTCTCGGATATTGTATAAACACATAAACAAAGGGGATATTTAATTTTAGAATATTTTATTATACAATAAAGTTACTTTTTCTTTATATCAAAAGTACAATTATCAAATGTACATTGCACGAACGACACGTTCCTTAGACCATTTGGTACAACAGTCGAATTTTCTTGTGTTGGAATTATATGTTTTTCTGGTATCACGCCCGTTGATGTACTTGGTCGCAAATCCGGTGTTATTTCAGCACTACGACACGTTCTAAACGCTTTATTAGGAATTTCTGTCCTGTGTGCTACCGATTCACCAACATATCTTTCAGCGACCGTTGATGACTTCTTTAGTGCCATCAAGTCTCACCCAGATTCAACAAGTGTAGCAGACGATCTTCGAAATGAATGACCTGTATATGTATTTTCAAGTTGAAGAAAATTAGCCACTGTTTTGGGAACCTTATAAAACTGGTTTTTACCCATAACCTGATTGATATATTTCCTATTGTGATGCATAAAACAGGCGGCGATCCTTTGCACACAAATTCGACAAGCTCCTGCAATCCCAAATACAACAACAACCTTGGCCATTAAATAAACTTAATCGGGAGCATTATTTAAAAAATCACTAATTTGTGTACTCGTGGAAATCGCAGCTTTCTTGGGCTTGTAACCTTTCCCAATTTGTTTCAGCAATGTAATTAGTTTGAAATATTTTGGATTGTCTACATTATTATTGGATCGTAACATACTTTTATTCATTGAATAATTCGACCACACTGTTGATGGCTTTTGCTGTTGGGCCAATTCCGAAAAATAAGCCAATAATACCGTCTCCGACAAAGAACTGCATGTTTTTTTCATCTTCCATTCCATGAATCTTGAATACACGGTTTCGTAAATTTTCCGCCATTTAGCTGGAAATAATTTTTGAACGCTACTTTGTCTACTTCTACTAATTCCGGTGGAGTCAAAGAAAACTTGGAATCAGACATTTTTTACTTTATAGTATTAAAAATAATTTCTAAAGAACCACTAAGTTCACAATTTTTAAACCAAATCAAAAAATTAAGTTGACAGCTATTTGAATACTTTAAAAGTTTCCTTAGCAAAGCAGGTCTATTTGTCGCTATAAGTACAAGTATAAGTAGAACATGGCCTACTAATTTTAAAATTCAAATTTCATATCGATAATTTTCTGACTTGAATATTGTAATAATATAATTTTTCAATATTAAATCGTCGTTTTTCCCGTCACAGAAAAAAATTGTGTATTATACACGGGAAAAATGCTAGATTTTAGCTTTCGGTCTTTTGACAATTCAAGCTCAAGCTAAAATCTAGTTCCTTTTTCCCTTGTATAATAAATTAATATAAGCTTAGACATACAAAAAGGAAATTAAATCTTATCTTGAGTGCCCTTATGTGTAGAAATCGTGCACATGTATCATATAAACAATAATTAGAAATCAAAAGCATTCAATTTATGAGTCGGTTCGGTTGTTGACCTTAGCGCGTCTAGCTAAATCAAGTTTTTTAGGTTGACAAAATGAAACCAAACAAAAAACAGGACTCATAAGATTAATGGAAAATATGAGGCAAAAGCGATTATCCATCATCGTTCCCATAATCAATCAGAAAACTAGTCTTCCATTATTATGGTCAATTATAAAGTTGGAGTTGAGTTCGGAGTCGTCAAGCACAATCACAATTTATCTTTTATATGCATTCAAACAAGAACTGGAACTCCCTGTTATCTAATGGTACAGTTCTCGCAGATAGCACAAACACTATAATAGGAGGACAGGTCAAATGGGCTGCAATGGACATAATATGGGGTGGGCCATCTATCGGTTTCGATTTGAACCACGTGTTAATTTGACGCTGACAATACTTATGTCAATCTGATTTGTCATAAAATTCAGTATATTATCTCCGCTGAACGAAATGAATCGATTTACGCTTGAGCAACGTTGGGTAATATTGGAAATTTATTTCCAAAACAAAGACAATTGGGCAGAAATTGCACGAAAATGCCGTTCAAAATTCGGTCGCAACGAAGCACCAACAGCGCCCGGTATACGCAAGTTTATTAATAAAGTGCGTGAAACTGGTTTCATTGTTGATGCTCCAACACGTCAGCGTGCTCGTACAGTGCGTACACCCGAAGGTATCGATGCTGTGGCTGCGAGTGTGCGTGAAAATCCATCAACGTCAACACGTCATCGTTCCCAAGAATTGAACATTTCCCGCACCAGTTTACGACGAATTTTGCGGAAAGATCTCGGTATGACGCCTTACAAAGTTCAATTGGTTCAAGAGTTGAAGCCGCGTGACCATCCACTTCGTTCTGCCTTCGCTACATGGGCCAACGAGCAACTAATCAATGATGTCGATTTTGCGAAAAAAATAATCTTTTCAGACGAAGCTCATTTTCATATTGGTGGCTACGTCAATAAGCAAAATTGCCGTATCTGGGGCTCGGAAAACCCACACGAGGTCTTAGAGAAGCCAATGCATCCCTTGCGAGTGACTGTTTGGTGTGGATTGTGGAGCGGAGGCATCATTGGCCCATATTTCTTTGAAGACGGGGACGGCGCAACCGTTTCTGTCAATGGAAACACCTATCGCACCATGATAACTGATTTTTTTGTTCCTGCTCTTGATGGTATTGATGTGGAGAATGTTTGGTTTCAGCAGGATGGTGCAACTTGTCACACATCGCATGCCACAATCAACTTATTGCGCGAAACCTTCGATGGCCGTTTAATCAGTCGAAATGGTGATGTCAATTGGCCGCCAAGAAGCTGCGATTTGACACCATTGGACTATTTCCTGTGGGGCGCTGTTAAAGACAAGTGTTATGTCGACCATCCAGAGACAATTGACCATTTGAAGGCCAACATTCGTGATGCCATTGACGAGATACGGCCCCAAACACTCGAAAAAGTGCTCGAAAATTGGTCCGATCGAATGGGCTACTGTGAGGCCAGCCGCGGCAGCCATTTGAATGAAGTAATATTTCATTTCTGAGCGGAACAATTGTACTTCAAAACAAAAAAATAAATTTGGCAATATCTCAAACCGTTTTTGTTTTATTTTATTTTTAAATCGAAACTTTTAAATGGCCCACCCAATATATTATAAAAGTACCATACATCTCACGCTAGATAATCAGCAGCTGAACACACTTCTCTTACTTGTACTTACATACAAGTAAGTACTTTTTTCTTAAGGTTATTATTAATAATGAATAGTTATTTTCAGAATTACTTTTACACAGATGAATATTGTGGTTGATGAAGGATGCTATGTTCCGAATCTCACAATACTAAATCTAAGAACAGCGAGACAAGCAAAACAAACTTAATAATCTGTCAATTGAATCTAAGATAATATTTTCGAAAGAGATTTTTCTGCAGATGAGGTAGAGTCATTTGAATGTGAAAGCACGCATCTTGAAGCTGAATGTTGTAACTTATATCCTAAAAGTTTTGGCACAAAATTTATTGGCTTTAATTTTAACAAACACAAAATAATATCAAGTTGCCTTTGGAAATAAAAATTTGCTTACTTACTTTACTGTCAGTTGACATTTATTAATTTTGAAGTTTGCTCTTTAAGATGTATAAATTAGAAACAAGGAAAAAGTATCTACACATTTATCGAATAATAGCAGAGTGCGGACAGGGAGATACCATGTATGAATCTTCCAAAAAGTGGAAGACCACGTGCATTAATCATGATTTCAGATGACGAAAAGTATTTCCTTTTGAGTAACTGTGAAACGAAGGGAAACGACGGATTTTATACGGAAGACGTAGAGGAATGCCTGACAATGTTAAATACAAACATGAAGCAAAGTTTGCAGATAAAATCCTTGTCTGGTGCGCAGTTTCTAACAGGGGTGTATCCCAACCTTTTGTGGGAAAAGTGAAGGGTGAAGCTTTGGATAGTCGGAGATATAATGATACCTGCCTTTCCAAATTGCTTTTCAGTTTGTCCACGAACATCATGCTAATGACCACATCATGTTTTGGCCAGACCAAACATCATGCCATTACTCAAGAGATACCCGAAACTGGCTTCAATGACACAATATACCTTCTGATCCCAAAAACGATAATCCCCAAACTTGCTGCAGGGTCGCTCAATAGAGGATCTATGGGCTTTACTGTATAGGAAGGTTCATCATGGAGGCTGTGAAGCCCAAGATGAAGAACAACTAAGACGGCGAATTTTCGAAAAACTGAGAGAAATTGCTCTGAATTCCGTCCAGGACCGCATGAGAGACGTTCGAACAAAGTTGTGTCTGGTGAAGCAGAAAGGGCCACACCAGATAATTCGATAGTATAGCTTAGTTAAGTATTGAGTTGTAATTCATGATCACTAGTGTTTTAATAAATTTCTTGGTTGATAAAATGCGTTAAATATTTTGAGCCAAAACGATTAGGACATACGTTATTCGTGTTTTCTAATCTATTTCCTCCACATCGTAAAATACACTTTTGATAAAAGATTTAAACACATTAATTACTTATTAAGATGGCACTGGCATCACAGATTCCGAAGCCGGTAACCCGTACAGCTTACCATGATTGGCACTGATGTACTATAACACAAGGGCGGATTTAGGATTTCGTCTAGCGGCAGGGGCGCAAACGATATTTGGGGCTGGTAATTTTTTCACCTCACTGGAACTTCAAGACTTGTTTTCTATCTGGACAAGGCCAGCTTGAAAAAAAAAACATGGAAATTGCTCAGAAATCCTCAGAAAGCCAATATTTTATTATATGAGAACAACATAAGTACGTG